AAACATGCATCAATCATGAAGACAAAATTAAACAACAATTAGCAGAAACTTACTAAACAGAAGCAAATCCGGCCAACTCTCGAACTCACAGTATGACCATTTCCGGTGATGTTTGAGCCCTACTGATAACAAATTCCTCATGAGGGAAGCCCAGCGACCCTATGGTATCAATTTGAACGTTTTTGGGGCGATATGGGTTTTGGTCGAAAAAACTTAAATGAAGATTCGAGCAAGTCCGGCAAGATTCGAAGGACGCGGTTAGGGGGGTTGGGTAGAGGAGGCTCATGCGGTCTAGTGGTGTTAATTTGGATCGATTTGGGATAAGTAACGTCTTGGCCGTAGAATTTAGATTTAAGATTCGAAGGCCTGGGATGAGATTTGAGAGAAATGGATTATGGATTCGGACAGAGGAGGCAGAGGGGAATCAGGGGTGTAATTTTGGGAGTGAACGACGATGGTGGTGTTCGCCGGCGGCGGCGGCTCCGGCGGAGTTACAGAGAGTGTACGAGGAAGAAAGGGGATGTCTTTTAGGTTTTCCGAATTTTCGGACAATTTTACGTAGAATCTATATTAATTGAGAGCCGTTGGATTTGAAGGTATGGACGGTCATGATCCATTGACATCAAAACGACGTCGTTTTGGGCGTCTCTGGACTAGATCAGGGATTGGGTTGGGGGTTGGTTTGGGCCAAAGGGGTGGGCGTGTATTTGGGCTCAAAATTACTTCAATGTAACAGCCCAATTTCCTTTTCCTTGTTATTTAATTTCTTTTGTTTTCCCTCTCTTATTTATTTGTGTATTTTACTCATTATCTCTTTTTATTTTATTTTTTTGATTTTATTATGCAAAATAAAAATGACCCAAATTAAATCTAAGATGATACTAATTAACTAGTTCCTATTTTAAGAGGGAACTAAATCAAAAATGTAAAAAATGTAAAATTTAAAATTGTAAAAGACTATTTTTGTTATTTTTCTCTTGTTTTAGTAATGCTAATTAACTACTATTTTTGTATCTTTTTTCATACATTATGGCAACTAAAAGTGCACAAAAAAAAAATTGCAAACAAGACACAAAATCATGCAATGAGTTCCTAAAATTCAAATAATAAAGAAAAATCCTAATTCTAAGGAATTTATAGGAGTAATTTAAGCGTGGCAAAAATCACGTGCTCACAGAATCTGTAAAAAATTTGAAGAGAAGAAGAGATTTAGAGTTTGTATAAGTCAAAAATGGAGGTTGTATGCCGAATGAGGAACAAGAAATCCTCTAAATAGATGGGCCCTTGGGTTTATTACCGTTGGGTATTGAAAAAATAACATTCACGCTCTTGCGAGGCGTGACTTATACGCACAACAACTGGCTAGGAATAACTGATGTCATGTAGATTGATTCAACTGTCGAAGATGTTTATTAGTTCACTTATGCTCAAGGTTGAAGTGTTCATATGAAAATTTTGAAATTTTATTTACCGACATGACCATCGAGTACAAGTTTAAGTGGTCAGGAGGCCATTTTGCCAATTTGAAATTATCACCAAGTTGCTGGTATTTAAGAAGCCTAGTGACTATGCATGAGAAAATTTTAAAATAGCATACTTGAGAGTAGTTACACAACCATTTTTTAGTTTCACATTGCACAAAAATGTCTCCATACCAAAACACCTTGGTAAAAAACAAATTGATACAGTCCTCTTGTATTTTAAGATACCTCAATTGACATACTAACTACTTAGCTTCAAATATCCAGTATTACATGAAAATTATAGCTTTAAATCTGTACTTTTACATAGCTTTAAATCTGGATATTACATAGCTACTAATCACCATTATATCACGTTAGCTGCTACAAAACCAACAAATATACACCACGACAATAGCAAAAAAATCTTCATTCTCTGCACTTTCTTCTCCAATATATACAATTCGCCATCATTTCAGTCACCGTTTTCTTCAAATTATTTCTTTCATGGCGAACATCCAATTAAACTCTCAAATTATTGATCCTCAATGCCACATGGGGTGAAAATTCTTCGTCGCACCATTACCAATAGCCACAAGATGCAACCTTATCAAACTAAAATTTTAATGAAATCATCCGAAACACTAAAATAAACTTACAAGTTTCTCGGCAAAAATATTACTTACTCCATAAATTAATGGGAGTTTTGGCCGTAACTGACTCGTAACCTGTCCGCAATTACATCTACTCGATTGGGTTAAGCTTTGAGAGGAAACAAAATTCTTGGACATTCTATCACAGAAGAACAACTTTTCATACAAAGATAACGGTAGATTATGATAAACAAAATTGGAAGAAAGAAGTGGAAGAAGAAAATTTACCTAATTAAAGAAGCAAAAATGGGGAAGAAGGAATGGATTTGTGTATTTAAGCTGACTTACCGCTCGTTATTAGGTTTTAGTTAAATGGGTTATAGCTACATATTATGGGCCAGCGGGTCGGTTTGGATATCTTTTAAAGATGAATTTTAATTTTATTTATTGTTTAATACACGTTGCACACTTACAATGTGCCACGTGAAAATTTAAAGTGTAAATTTAACCATGACTAGTCTGTTAAATTTCAGGGGCAAACTTGAGCCCAAATTGAGGGTATTTCTAGTCCCAATGGTTAATGAAAAGGATATTTTTTAGCCATTTTTAATACGTTAGGACATTTTTAGCCATTTTCCATGAGTTATTTAACACACATTGAGGATGGAATACCCTAATAATATTTTTTACCACATCTGATAGTATTGGAAAATCTATATAGTATATCAGCTCCACAAAAGAATAGTAGGCAAATATATATTTTTGCATGTAAATGTTTAATATACATATTTTATGCATAATCAATGTATATTTTTATGTGTTTGGCTTGCGGTTGTAACTATTTTTGGCAACATTAAAAGCCTCCAATGTTTCCTTCTTAAGTAATATGAGGTAGGCGACAAAAAACACATTTACTTAAAGTGTTGGAAAAGTTACTTGGGAAAAAGAAATTTTCACATTATAATATTTTTGTATGGTTAATTAGAAAATGTTTTACAGAAGTAAACTCCCACATTATTAATTATCTAAATGTTATAATGGTGTGGGTAGGAATAGAAGTGAGGCAGTCGTGTTGAGAGTTCTAAATTGCAAAATGGTGAAGGTAAGGTTTATAGAGGAGAGTAAATCAAGTGAAATAAGTTAATGAGAAAAAAGGGATGCAACGCTGAAATAATTTCTTGCTCACCATTGAACAACACAATTCACTTTTCTCACTTCTAATATACAAAAAATTTACATTAAACCGTTTCAGAAAGCTACAAACGTAAAATCCAGTGTGGGGCCAGAGAATTCATAGTTATATATGTATTGGGCTTGTCTTGTAAACTTGACATTCTTGTCATCTTTGGTATGTGTTTGATTTTAGGGCCGACTATTTTGGGCCATGATTTAACATTGACACGTTCCGTTGGATAAATTGCAATAGAGAATACTGTGTAGTGGTTTCAAAATAATAGCCGAAAATGATATATATGTACATTCCTGTATATTATATATAAAAANTATATATATATATTTGCAAAAGATGAAATTAAAAATTAGTTTGCCTTATAATATATAGTTGTCTACTATTTCAACTTCAATTTGAAATAGAAAATTTGTCATTGAAAAATTATTTTGAGGAATAATTAAAGTAAAATAAGGATTTTCTCATAAAAGTTTAATTTTTCTTCGAATAAAACACATGTCCAAAAGAACTCGTTTTTTTCAACTTCACTTTTGAATAGTCATTTTTTAAGTTCAATCAAATATTTTCAACGACAACATTTGGTGAAGGAACACTCTCTTTTATTCTTTTTCGGCTTGTTACCTTGGAAAAAGTAAAGTGGGGCATATTCAACTCTATAAAAAAAAATTCCCTTTCATTGATATATACGGATCACCTACCCTTCAATATTGTGAGGGACTACGGGGCCGGCGGTGAAGCCGCATTCTGTTCCGCTTGTTGCTTGTGGATTATTATTCTTAATTTTAACAGAGAGAGACAAAGTCAAATTTTGCAAGTCAGCAATTTTTGTAGCGCGGATTCCATTTCGGCTTACTAGCACCTAAGTCTTTGTTTTATACAAATAGAGTTTCCACATAATTTACACACTATAATAAATCAACAAACTTAACATATATCTACCAACTACAATAAAGTGTCGGACCCCTGATCTCTAAAACAAAGAAAAGTAAAAGACGGATGGGATATTTTCCTCTAATAACAGAGGTCGAATAACAAAGTTATGATGAAGTGATAAATTCTCTCCCATCCTTCATCAAACTTAGTATTTTCTTATAGAAGCGCTTTATCCTTAAATTAAAGCTTTCTGATACTGGATTAGTCGAACCAAACACTGTGTTAAAAATAAAAAAAAGCAAAAGAAGAATTATTTCATAACGATAATATTGGATTTGTTGTTGTTATTGTTGGTGGTGGTGTTTATGATGATAATGAGGAATCAAATTGCATCTGAACCCAACCAAATTTCCCATTTTTCTTCTTAATGTTTTCTGTATTAGTATTTGTGTATATTTCTTTTTCTTAATTTACTTTATCCCCACTTTCTTAGGAATCAAAGTAGTTCATCACTTATTCTAGGGCAACTCAAATGTCTCCCTTTTTTTAAAAAAAAAAATTATTCGTTGTTCGGAATTCACTAATTCAATTAATCAAAATTCACACAGTAAAAAAATTGATCGCTCCTTATTACAAAAAATTCTATTTTCAGTTTGAATTGAAATCTCTAGTGAAAAGTGAATGAATTTTTTATCATTCCAACACACCATGTTAACTCAAATGACACCCTCCACCTTCAATCAAATGATTGTAGGTTTGAGTCACTAAAATAATAAAATGGAGAGCTATTGGGGAGGGGTAAAAACAAAACGTCAAACATTCAATTCTTATGTTATTAAAGGTCTGATTTAAGATATTAAATTTATAGCCAAACTGTTAATAAAAGGCAAGTGGTGGGGTGCTTGAATTATTATTGGAATAACGTGATTGTACGATTTTCCTATTTAAATATGTTGACTCCATGGAGTCGTCCTCTTTAGTCTTTTCAAAGAATTATAGCACATTGAGGATTATCAGATAGAAGAAAAGTGTGTTCAAATGCGCAGAATGGAACTACATAATAAAAGGAGCGTAAAGTTCACTTGCCCACCTAATTGGTCCCTCCAAGCACCTGGAGTACTATTAAAGCCACCACGCGTATATGGTGCAATAATGTTTGGAACAGCATGGAAAGAAAATGTTCCTAAAATACTCAATCAGTTTAACCTTAGAGTTAGTTTAACTAGACACGGATTTTAAGGAAAAAAAAATTATAGGGTCATGATATTGTATAGTTATAAAAACATTTTATTAAGAGTAAAATGAAGAGTTTAAATTTGAATTATTTTCAATTATAGAAATGTATCATTGTTTTTGGAATGGACTAATAAGGAAAGTGTGTCATCTAAATTGAAATAGATGAGTAATTGGAGAACAAGTAATTTCCAATGCAAACTTCTTTTTAAGAAAAATAATTCAAATTGATTGTTCTACTAGTTTTAAATTGATTTTAGACAAATAAAACTACCACTAGTTTCTTAATCTTTTTCACAACAAATAAATTAAATGAAATCAGGCAGTTATCCCATTAAAAAGGGTGGAACGATATTTTGAGTGATATTATGTTAAAATCAATCTTCTGTAAGCTTAAGAAATGAAATACACCACATTTAAAAAACAGAGAGAAAGTAGTGTGGCTTTATGTTTCCTAATAGTTTTTTGACGAATGAGCTAAGGGTCTATATAATATTAAATCTATTTTCTCTTTGTCTTTTAAAGCAAAGAACCAAACTCTTATTTTTAGAATGAAACATAAAGCCACACTGATAATTTGTATTGATATAGCATTTCCAAAAAAAACAAAAACAAAAAATTCCGAACTTAAATCTCCTCAAAATCGTATTGAATCGGCTTATGAACACATATAATTTGTAACTAATTGTAAGATCTTTATTTTTTTATTATATGAAAAAAAATACCTCCTAAGGGAAAGACATATTTTGGCATGCAAAAAGAAAGCGCGTGGGTGACCATTACACATATTATAATGCCATTCACATGATGTCAGATTCGCTATGTCAGCAACAGTATGAGTCGAGGGACGGAGGCATTATATTCTAAACCACCAGCAATAAGCCAGGTAGAAAATATACAGATGAAAAGCATAGAAATACTATGTGCTAATAGAAATTATTAGCCATTAATCAGCCTATAGCTAGATGCTACTTACTATGGACGGGGAGAAGAAGAGGAAGAGAACAGAAAACAACGACGTTAACGGCGGAGATCGGAGCAAGCATGAGATAGAAAACGTTGTGAAGGAGGAGGAGACGGTGGTGTTACCGCCGCCATCAGAGGCGGAAGTTGACGAGTTCTTCGCGATCTTGCGGAGGATGCACGTGGCAGTGAAATATCTCCAGAAGAATTCTCAAATTGTGCCAAACGTTAACGATCACGGCAGTAAATTAACCGCATCGCCGGCCGGTGCGAACAGTGTTTTAGCTGGCCAGAGAAGAACACTAGGAATCGTGAGAAACGGTGGTTTGGACCTCAACGCTTTACCAGAAGGCGGAGATTAACGCCGTTTAAGCTTTTTACAGAATTGAACACGTAACATGTGCATTTTAATTAGTCGACGTTGAAAGTCGCTGTTTCTGCTGTACAGGTTAAGCTTTTACAGTCGAACTATATTATTCCCTGTTCTCGTCGATTTGAAGAACTACGCCTACTTCTCAGTTTTGGTCTCTCTCTTTTTTTTTTTTTTTTTTTTTTTTTTTTTTTTTTTTTTGGGGGGGTACTAAATAAGTTTTTGCACTTGGTAACACATATTTTTCTGGTGATTCTAAATAACTGCACTATTGTATAAACTAATGGAGTGGTTTGCTCTTTATGACTTTCTTTTACTTTTCCTTAATTAAATATTGTATACCAAAATTATTTCATTTCATCTTATTATCGTTAAATGAATGCATGCTTTTTAATCTTTCGAACCATTTGACTTCTTTAGATTATATTTCTTCATAAATATATATACTATGGTGAGGTTAAAACACAATATGACAGTGAAGTTAAATACGATATGTGATAATATACTTTTGTTACATAACAGAATAAAGTTACTGGGATATATATTACTTTACATACATATTGATTAAATTATAGTATCTTTCTGGCACATTTTTAACGAAAAGTAGCTTTACGTTAATATCTCAAATAAGAGGGAAGGGTAAATTAAAATCTTAGGGAGTGCATGTCGTATAATTTTCTCAATCTTCTCTTACTTTCGCATCCCAGAAAAATCTTATTAGAAAATTACGAACTAAATTCATTATTTTTATGCGCGCGGAAACCGAAGGCATAGAACACCGGATGCTGAAGTTCATTTTAACATATGGCTTTATTCTTCCACCATTTTAATAATCGACTTAACCAAAACCAAATAGTGATAGCAGAGTGTGCCATGCCCGTGTGATTGCATATTAATTAATTTATGAGGTTAGATTTTTTTTCCTGAATGTGTTTCAAGAGACCTAAAATACCGCTAGCTCGCAAGAACGTTTCAATGTTTTTTTTTCCTTTGTTTGCAAAATATGATTGTAGATGTAGTACACTTTACTTGGAGAAAAATATTCGGAATAGAAAAAGAAAATAATATATTTACGGACAAAGTAAAGATAACTAGAATACCTCAGATTATTAGTTTTCTTGGTAAAAATTCTATCGTCCATGTTGTTTCATTAGTCGTTAAGTCAATTGCTTTTTTAAATTATTAACTTAAACGTGTACTAATTCTACTAGTTGATTGAGATAAATAAAAAGACATTACTTTTGTATCTGTATATGTTTTTAAACTGTCTTTGACTCTTTGTCTTAAACACTCAGTTAATTGTTGTTAATTGGTAGCACGAGAATAAGAACATAAGAGGAAAGTAGAAGGAAATTTGATTCTTTTTTCATTTTTAAGTCTTACCAATCAACATTAGCAGGATGATAACCAATTAGTCAAGGCTTAAGGGTGGACTGGATTAATAAGCTAATCTTCTCACACTTTTCCACCTTTTTTCCTCAAATTAACCGCATAACTAAGTATTCAGGGCGGATCCAGGATTTTGAGTTCCTGGGTGCTTAACTTTTTTTGACTTGTAGTTACTACCAATCACATAGTATAAACGTACAACCATTTTGAACATGACGGTAAAAAAATTAATAAAAAAACTCGTATTAATGTTATATGCGCGTGTAACAAAAAATGCCACTATAGACAATAAATTTGGCGTCGAGAAAATAAAATCAAGACCGAAAATATCGCAACAATTGTAGTATTTTATTTCGAATATTTGAGTGTTACAATCTCTATGAATCCTCTGATTCTTCCTTCCAATAGTAAATAAATTCAAGGGTCTTTGAGCTTGATCTTGAATATGTATTTGTTGCCTCGAACAATGATCTTGTTCTTAAGCTTGAGCTTGATTGCTTGAACTTGACCTTGATTTGTTCTTCGTTCTTGAACTTGAACTTGATTTCTTCTTCGTTCTTCAGCTTGAACTTGATTTCTTGAACTTGAACTTGAAGCTTGAAACTTGTGGAGGAATTTGCAGCGTTTGATCCACGAGCTCTTTCTTGCTTCTTGTTATAACTTCTGGTCCCTCTTCTAAGTTATGAAGACCCCTATTTATAGTTGTGGAAGGGAGGAGTTGTGATAAGAACAAACTCTTTCCGACCAATCAAATTGAAGTGTGACATGACTGTATTTGATTGGCCAGAACATATCACTTGCACACATGGCGCGATTTCATTGGCCTTTTAGTGTGACTGGACATGCCTTGTCATTTTGACACGTGGCATGGTCCTATTGGCTCTTCCGCTTGACTTGGCGCGCCACGTCATTTGACATGTGACACCAAACTGGGCCTCTAGGAAGATGTCATCTTGGGCTTAATGAAGTGGGCTCATCACTTTAGCCCAATTAAATGGGCTAGCCCAATAGATTAAGACTTATTTAATCTATATATATTGAACTTATATAATTAATTCAATTATATTAGCCCATATATTTATTTGGACCAATATATCTTGAATTTAAAATATAATCCAAATTATTTTATGGATTTAGTTTTAATAAAATTTATAAGCCTACACCCACTGTAGAAAATATTTTTTATGGATTTTGCCACTCTAGAGAAACTATTTGTTTGTGGAAAGTGGTCGAACTTTGGAGTTCCTTTCTTTCTTTGTTATAGAGGATTATTAGGTATAAAAAAATAACATACCCAATATATTCTTACATCATACCCAATATATTCTCACACGTAGGGTCTGAGGAAGGTTTTTTTTTTCTTTTTCTATATTAGATAAAATAGAAAAGGAAAAAAAAGGTGAAGGTAAAATAAAATTTAGAAAAAAAGTAGTCTGAAAGGGAAATAAATATAGTAGTATTGGATAAAAAATGTAGCTTTGACTGTGTTATGAGTCGGATTCGAACTCGCCATCCCTCACGGCAAAAAACAACCTCTACCCTTAATTGGCCAAAGCACCCATTAGCACTTCTGTTTCCTGGGTTCTTTCTTGTCTTATATATCAAAGGCCTCAAGTTTTCTGAATAAATATACATATTCTGTGGTAAGTTTAATGGGTGCTGAAGCACCCAATTTTAGAAGGTAGATCCGCCCATGTAAGTATTGCTTGCGTGTAGCTTGGAGATTCAAATTTGAACTCATTAGGTTTAAATATTAGATTCATCTTTGAACCTATTTGGATTTTGAATGGTTTAAATCTAATGCCAATATACTCAATTTTATATTTTCAATAGATCGATTGTTCAGAACAAAGGTGGATCTATTTCATTTTTACACTTTATTCTGTTAAAACTTGTGTCTTTTTTCTTATTACCTATTAATAAAATTAGTATTTTGATCTTAGACCATCCAAGTTTGACACTGAATGCTGGTTATAAGACTCAGCCAAAAAAAAAAATCAGGTTATTTCAGATGACATTACGATAAGAAATTAAACGCAAACAATATTTCTAAGACGGAGTCTAAACTGAAAAGGAAAATTGAAGAGGGGTAGAAAGAAAGTTTAAGTGATTGATAACATTTACATTGCCTAGGAGTCAGCATGTGGTTTGACACTTTGACTAATTAACCTCCTCTAACTAAACTGAAAATTCTCCGAAGTTACTTTTCTTCCCAACTTTTTAAGGCTCCGTTTGTTCATACATATTTTTCTTTTTTTTCAAAAAGAAATTTAAAAATATATTTATTCATGAAAGTTTTCAAGTTTTTGAAAAAATTTTGAAAATGAATTTTTCTTTTTAAAAAAAAACACCTTTTCAAAAAAATTAGAATTTTTTTCCTCCACTCACAAAATTGCAACAATTTTCCAAGCGAAATATTTGTCCAAACATAATTTCAAAATCTGATTATAATTTTTCAACTTAACTCCCAATTTTACTTTTAAAAAAAAAATTATCATTTCTATATCCAAACGCCTACTAAGAATTTTCTTTGTCCGGAAATAAGGAAGAAGAGTAACTCTATTATTGTAATAATCATGACAAAACCATAGAACACACAGCAAGAGCTCCATGCGAACTCAAGTTCCTTCAATTCACTACTAAAAAAATAGGATTTAGCGACAAACACATTTTATAGCTAAATAAAAATATTTTTTTCGTTAATTCTATTTAGCAATGGATTAGCGATAGATTATTAAGAATTTTTATTAGTTACGAGCGATTTAAAAATAGATTAGCGATGAAGTTCGCAGCTAATCTTTTATTTTTTATTCTTATTTTTTTTGTAATCGTTCTATCAAACACAACACTCTTTTATTTTTTATTCTTATTTTTTTTTTGTAATCGTTCTATCAAACACAGCACTCTCAGAATCCATGCAACGATCCATTAATATCCTCTCCTTTCATAACATTCTTGCCGCCCTCAATTATTACACATATGATCATATCCGGACACTGAAAAATTTCTCTAGAAAGCAAATAATAGCATTTTATATTAAGTCTCGATCAAACACTTTCTTCCTAGTAGTAGAGAGACAAAGTAAACTCAAATTTACGCCAAAACTTCAATCCTCCTTTGCTATATACAAGCATATATAGTTTCCACAGAGCAAGCTGCATTCTCAATTTCTTATCGTTTTACCATGATAAAAATAATAACATAATATACTCAATGTAATCTCACAAGTAGGGTTTGAAAAGAATATAATGTACGTACAAGAGCTGATGTTGTGTGGCAATTACGAGTTCAATTTTTTTTTGGCAAGTAAAACATTTTTATTTACCAAATAGAGTTATGTACAGACAACAAAAAAACGGATAGTTGGACAGCAAACCCCAACACCAGCTATCACTCTACACTACAATCGCCTCAACTAATCTCATATTGACAATCCTAGCTATAATGGATAGAAATTTAGCTGCTCCAGCCATTTCGCCTCAACTAATCTCATATGTTACGGGTTCAATTGAACCCATAAACTTCGATGCTAGGTAAAAAATTTATATGTAAAAATTTGTTAAAATTACAAAAATAATAAGTTTGAACCCTTAACTTTAAAAGTTTAATGGATTCAATGTTATATTTTTTTAAAGTTGAACCCATAGATTTTAACTCCTGGAGTTGCCTATGAATTTAACTCCTGGAGTTGCCTCTATATATGTATACCTTATCATTAATTACCTTGTGAAAGTTGAGAGACCGATGGACCTCAGCTCAAAGAAAACATAATTATAACCACTTTACCATGATAACACGGATTATTTTAAGTCGTTTGTTATTTTAAGATATATCCAAATCTGTAACAAAAGTATTGATTTTGAAGTGCTTTTCTGAAAAGTACTTTTTTAAAAAGTACTTTTGGTGAGAAGTAA